TTTGCTCCAGCCGTTCGTGCACGCTATGAGTCGGAGCTAGTGCGTAAGCTAAGTGCGCTTCAGCGTGGTAATGTAGACAAGCAGTGGGATCCGATTAAGCAAGCAATGCATTCCGCAGCGAATGTTTCTTGTGGGTCTGAGCATCAAACCCATCGGAGGCATTGGATATCTCAGGAGTCAGTAGTCCTGATAGAGCAAAAACGACAAGTCTCGACCTACCAGGATCGAAATAGAGTGAGGCGGCAGCTACAACGTCGGCTCACGAAGTGCCTCAAGAAGGACCGTGAGAACTGGTGGGCAACAATAGCTAGGGAAATGGAAGTAGCAGCTGCTTCAGGAAATAGTCAAAGACTGTTCCGACTGGTACGCGATGCGGGAGGTCGGCGAACTCCGGTTAGTGAAACAGTCTGCGATAAGACGGGAAGAGCTATTCACAAGTAGGGATCAACGACTCGATCGCTGGGCAGAATACTTCAACGAACAGTTCAGCTGGCCTAGTGTTAACCAGGCTGCTTCATCTCCGACCGAAGCTCCGTGGGCAGTGTCATGCGATCCTCCAAAGAAAGCATAGGTTCGGTCTTGCATTCAAGCTCTGAAGCGAGGAAAGGCAGCAGGACCTGATGAGCTCCCTCCCACTCATTTCAAGATTGTAGGTTTTAACCTCGTTACCTCTATTACTACCCTACTGCGCAACATTTGGATGCGACAGCACATTCCATCATCTTGGGGCGAATCACTGATCATTCCCATTTTCAAGAAGGGATCCCGCAACGATTGCAAAAACCACCGCGAGATAAGTTTGATCCCGATAGTGACCGAAGTGCTAGCTATGGTTATACTTCGACATCTGACGTCTTTAAAAGAGACCAACATACGTGAACAGTAAGCCGGCTGGCGGCCTGGCCGTGGATGTATCGATCAGATTTTACATTGCGTCAGTTCCTTGAGCTGCGTCACACCCGTCGGCCAACGATCGCAGTATTCCTTGACCCGAAAAGAGCCTTCCACTCAGTAGTATATATATATATATATATATATATATATATCACCTCTGAAGCCAGAGTGTCCCAAGCAAATCATGGTACAATCATCTTTATAAAAAGGAAAACGTCCCATGATTTGCATGTGGTTGGAATACTGCTAAGTTGTTCAGGCCAAGGTAAGTGAATTTTCCTGAGAAATCCACAACCTGAACCTTCGGTTAACCAAAGCCTGACCCGCAAGCCAGCGGAGCGGTGTGTGTGAACCGCAATTGATTGGGAGCCGTTGTCCAAGTCATCGGATCATACGCCCTTCGGACGGGGTCAAACGTCCAAGGTGCCCAATACACTTCAATACCAAGTTGAGCCGGCGACCACTGCCACAACCGGGAAGGTGTACGCCCCCTCTTGGTTGGTTTGGAATCAGGGTTTTTGGCCAACTCCCCTAAGTGAACTACCAGTGGTCCATCAACCCGGTTACAGCCCCGGATATCGGCTTTTCGTCCTCTCATTTAGTGGGAAAACACCTCCACCACAAGAAGGCAAAGAGTAGGGCTTCCGCAGCAGAGGCTATTTGAGACGCTTGGTGGTATGGAAGCATTTCGCGAGGTGCAAGGGAAGGGTGACCAGCTGCAAACCCTAGACACCCACCCCTGACCATACTGAGGTTTTCGCAGAAAACATCACTGTAACTGGGGAAATAGTAGAGGAGATAGGCAAATTTTGCTATTTAGGCAGCTATATCTCACCTGGCGGACGCATCATAGATGACGTGTCGGCACACACATAGAAGGCTCGTTTGTCATTTACCAACGTGAGACATCTGTGGTACCGTCGTGATATCCGGCTATCCTTGAGGGGTCAGATATATGCCGCAGCAG